TTATCACCAGTTTTTGTAAAGATATGTGGGACACGTTATCGCGTTGTTCGTCATCGTATGCCTGCATGTCTGCTCGCCAGGATTGGGAGGTGCGGCCGTACAACTCTGTGTGCAGCGACCGTACAAACAGTGACCAGTCATCAACCTCTGTTTAACCTAATCCCCCACCCTGATCATGAGTAGCTTCATGCGTGTGCACTTGATCCGCAATATACGTCCTGAATAAACGTGCTCCGTTCTACACGTCTGTTTCCTTTATAGCTGGGCTATAGCTTAGCTGGTTCTGGGAGTCTAGCTAGATGTAGGAGGATCTGCCATAGAGATTTCTTAGTCAGTCAGGCTTTACTAGTGTACCAATCCGCTACAGATATTACCGTTACGTTGCTTTCTGCAATATACTATTTGTACATTTCTTGGTTTTGACCAATGACGTTTTTCCGTTACAAAATTCTTATTTGTCTGTGTAGCTTTTCTCCTGTGGCTTCAGTCCTGATGTAACCAATATTATACTGTAAATATTAGGAAAACACTAATGAGTGATTTTTTTCTTAAATTCTAAAGCCTTTACTTTTTACGCCCATAGTCCCTGTTCTTTTAAACACTTGTGATAAAAAGTTTGAACTCTGTGATCATTAGCTAATTACATTAGGGCTGGCTCTTTTTCACGCCGTTCGGTTTGCGTAGCTGTGATGAAGCATCTTATTAATCGTCTGACTTCTGTCTTGCGGTTAGCGTTGAAGTATATTGTTATATCTGTGATTAGCATAATTTTGCTTCCCACCCCGATAAGTAAATTAGTTCCCATCCGACCTAATCATTCCTCAGTTAAGTAATCCATTTTGTGATTAGACGTCATAAATTAAAATAGTCTACACCTGATGCGCGTAAGCTATGCCTAAGGTAAAGTCAACGCAGACTTAATTCCAAAATTTAACGAGATACGAGTGCATTAAATTTAAGAAACTACAGATAACCTAGTATAATTGTATATGCATTGTTATATTCGATACTGTGCTTAAACTGAAATGTAAACGGAATACTATACGTTCACAACCCACTAAAGATACTTATCGTTTTTGGAAGGAATTTGGCCAACCAAACAGAGTAACCACATTAATAAATGTAATACGATTTGAAAGTAAAAAGTTACTGAAGTCTAGTCGAGAACATATTTGAAATGGTATATTAACATGTGATTTCGCGCGATTAAATAATGGGTTATAATATTGAAATTTGGTGCATAAAATAGTAAATAACATGAGAGGTAGAAAACCATGTGGTTACTTTCTGGGAATGCAAATTCAGCTTTCTCACATACCTAGGTACAAATAGAATTGCAGACTTTCGATTAACTTCCGAATATACACGGTTATCTAAATTAACATCAAGATAATGACTGGGTGCAAATCAAAGTAACATTTTAAATTTTCTTTAAAGAGATGGCTCACAGAAGTAGGATGATTTGTGGTTTAACGTTATTTTTAACAAGCATACCGAAAATTCATCATTCCATTGCCTTCAAATACATTACCGGTTTAAATAGCATATATTTCTTCGTCACTATTTAGGTTTATCCTTTGGTTAAAATTCCAAAGGACTACAGAAAGTGAAAGTTACGTATTAGTCATCGATCTAGAGTGATAAGGCTTTCTCTCGCCGCAGTTGTCTATCTGTTTCATGTGAAACCCACGTGATTCAAGTCACCTCACGAAGATATCAACAATCATTCAATGGTGATACCTCGTAAAGAAAAATCTAGTGCCTACTAATATTTATGCCGAAAAATTATATATATATATATATAAATTTTTCCGTATATTGGGATATAGCAAGTTCAGAGATTTTCTATTCACGATTTATTTTAATAATGACATTTAGGACGGTTTGATTCAGCAAATAAAAAGAATTTGTATGAAATTGAATCAGAACTAGTTCAAAGCCTTTTACAACCAACATTTTAGAAATTCTGTGGGGGTACCTCGAGTTTACCTGGCAAAAAAGTCTATTGACTGGCAGTTGACTTCTCACTTCAAACTACCATCACCTCACTCTATGCCATATTCGACTATTTCCACAGTACTCACCTCACCTTTTTTCTACCTTTGTGTTTGTCTCTTACATCTTTGGAACATTCTTCCGTTCCCCTCCCCCTCCCCCCTCTCGACTTTTATCAAGTTGATGTTCCTTCCTCTCTGTGAAGTCTGAAGTCAACTAAGCATCAAGACGCCTGCCATTTGATATAAATAAATAAATATTAAAAAATAAGTCATGTTTGGACACAAGCCCGTTTTTTATTATATATACGCTCAGCTTCACTTAATAGAAATTAAAGTGAGGTTTAAATTAATAAAGATAATCTCAGCAGAACATCACCATATTATAAATTAAAATGAATGAACATAAAGAATAAGTGATATCTTAATAAAGGTCGAATAAATCCGTAATCTTTAACTGCTTTGGGAGTTAACATTAGCTTAATACTTAAATGAAATTTATTTAACCTTAAATATACTAGTTTAATTGGACATACGCGATTACACATACTTAATTATATACTTCACTCATGTTCCCTCGAGAAAACAACAGTGTACTTAATGAGAAGAATCAATTATTCTATGAGGGAGTTAGCAAGGAATTATGTAATATAAACACTGAATTGAAACAATGTGAGGCAGATCTGGAAGAAATATGTGGTAAACTGTACATATTTGTAATATTTTCAGATTGTGTCATGAAAGAATATGCGGAAAGTCAAATGATTATTAATCCAATTATTTTTGAAGATGCATTAAATCTCGTGACGTTTGTTGAAGAACTGAAGGGGAAGCACTTAGATTGATGCCGCGAACAACATTAATATTTGTCCAATTCTGTCTAGATAGTTTAGTTTTATGTATAGTTCTTCACTTCTAGTCTCATATAAAACTTATGCTAGTATTTTTTCTATTTTTTGCTTATTAGGTGTTCTATTTTGAAGTTCAGAATAGAGGGAATTCAGTAGTGCAGAGGGAAATTGGCCAAGGCTTAGTAAACCCATGTCACCGGTATCCACTGCGGACGTGTCTGGAATTCTTCTATTCCTATTTGAAGCTTTTTTATCGTTTCCTCCATGTCATTGTTAACTATTTTCATATCGAAGAAGTGCTCAAAATGTTGCTCTAGTAGTTGACTTTCTCGGACTAGTCGTTCGAGACTTCCATCCTGAAAGGTTAACGTGTGTATTTAAGACGTTTGCATAAGTAAAATTAAAAGCATACACTTCGATATAAAAAAGCTCACATTTGGACAATGCAAATCCGGGAAAATTGAGTTTAGATCAGGCGCTGCAATGAAAATGACACCGGGGGCAAATTCTGCCGTTCTGAGCACTTTCAAAGCTTGGGGTTCTACGTCAAGAATGGCAATCAATCCAGCTGCATGAATTTGTCTAATGGTATCTAATTTCGTTCCATACATAGCTTGCTCATGAGTTCCATATTCCAAATACTCGTTGTTAGTAATATCTCTCATCATTTCTTCTTGTGTTACAAAGTAATAGTTCTTTCCATAAACTTCGTCTTTTCTTGGGGTTCTAGTGGTATCTGTAAATAAATAATGACTATTTAGTTTATTTTTATGAAGAAATTTCTCCCATTAGGAGACTAACTTACGCGGTATCGGATAAGCATATTTATCAGGCGCTGATTGAATGAGACAGTTCTTAATGTGGCGTCTGCCAACACCATGCGCTCCAAGAAGAACCAGGGTCCGTCTCCTAAAGGTGGGTAAACGGACAACTTCTTCGTAAGTGAATAAGTCTAACTGGTCGTAGATGAAGGAATGGCGAGTTCGATCACTAGCAGAACGACTAGTGCTGTGATTTCCGCGCTTTTTCCTCATAAACCAAGAGCCACAACTAACCACTTGTTGATTGTTGTGGCCATGAGAGAATTCTACTGCATGATTTGCTGCACGCCATTCTTGTAGCTCCGGACTTGGAATAAGTCCTGCTGGACTTTGTGGATCTGAGCCCCACAATCTTGCCTTAAGAGGATAATACGAGGTCAGTAGAAAGACAAAAATGACTAACGATGTCCTGTCTTTTTAAGGCGACAGCCCTAAGATGGTCTGATGGTGCCTTGTAATGTCATTTATCGACTATTACTCCATAATTATATGCTATGCTTGCGATTAACTAGTATTTTAGAACGATCCTATATCTCCCCATAAAGAGAGGTCTGATAGCTTGTTTCCATAATAAATTTGTGCCTAAGGGGAAATATCCAGTGGTTAGGAATGATAGTCGTTATAAACAGGGGGTGGAGGTGAGCTATTTTTATACATAGTTCATTTTTGACCCGAATTTCACTTAAAACCCACGATTTTAACAGAAGCGTATAGATCTGAATTATACATTTACAAATTAGAGAAAGAAATGAATTGAAAATTCTACTTTTGAAACCTCAGATGAGACTAATGTTTCCTTACTATGATAGCCCTCGAGGTTTGTGAAATATTTTGCTAATGTTAACTTTCTTTCCACATTTCCTAAATATGTTCCAATTCATCTTTGAATGGAAGAGAGCTCATACTTGAGATTTTCAAATTTGATGAGCTGGGTGGTAATACCACTTTCATCCTTAAAATTACGCCACTGTAGATTTCCTTTGGTTGAGATTAGTAGTATGTGCTTACTAGATACTTAAACTGTGTAACCTACTATTATTTGATTGTTATTTGATTTGCACTAAAGATATCAAGTTAATCCTCACCTGCCACCAGTTGTGATCATCTTTACTGATTATTTGGAGAATATCTCTCACATGAAATCGAATTCCGGCTTGAGTACAAGGAATCAATTCATCCGCGTCTGGGTTGTAGTTAAACATTGCGCGTACATAAATCTAAAACAAGATGCATCAAATTCCATTATCAGTGAGTGTTGTCAAAATCGGTTACCTCGGTGATTGTGGAGAAAGTTACCGCGCTTAAATTTAGGCTATCGTGAAATGGATTAGAGAAGAGGTTGAATAATTCACGATATACTTGAAAATGGTAAGCTGAATTTAAGAACAAAGTGTGCAAATATGTCACTGATTTGAAATTAATTAAAATTAAACCCAAAATAATCGATAAACTGAAGGATCGTAAATAACTGAAAGATCATTCCATTCATTTGAGCATAGGACGATGAGTTTACAATGCCGGTTGAGGAAAAAGGCATGGATACTCATAATAACGCGCTCAAGTTCAACTCCAACTTATTCCCTATTTGTTGACTTGATAGTAGTTCATTAATGAGTTACCTGCAAGCGTCGGGAAGCACTGCTACGCTACAAGCTGAAATACCGAAAATTCAACTTGATAAAGGAATTAATGTTAGCAATGAGAGTCGAAAATAGATCGTATAATCTTCATCCAAGATATATCAATAGCCTATAAACTCAATCGAAGTTTATTATGCAAACTTCTAGAATCTTAAATAAAATAAACATTGGCTGCTGGATTAGTTAGTAATGTGTTATTGAAGCGATTTCATTTCTAAATCCGAACCGAATATACAGAAAGCAGGCGATCCATAATTCTTTAATTCAATCCTGAGTAGAAAAACAGCAACGATTCTGCTTCCTTTAATTTTTATTGTTGCTTGTGGATTGCCAATGTAGTTGTACACTATTAGTTGATTACTCTATTCTTTAAGTGGTAATGTAAGTTGACAATGCGGTATAGTTATAACTGAAAGATGAACTTACAAACCAGGATGCAATTTTAAAGTGATGAACTACAAAGAGATATGAGATCGCAAAATTTTAGAAACCGTGTCAATTTAATGAAGTACTCCCAAGAATGAATTCTATAAAACCCAAATGAATGTAAAATTCACCAATTCAACAAAGATGAAACTAGTTTTCTTAAAAAAGGGGTGTACGATAGACTTACCTCCACGTGGGGCACCCTGGGCAACGTATACTCATACGGCAAAATAATCTATAAACCGGCAGTTGACTTCTGACCCCACTGTATGTCATATTCGACTATTTCCACAGTCCTCACATCAATTTTTTTCTAAATTTTCTTCCTTCGTCTTTGAAACACGCTTCTGTTCCCCTCTCTCGACTTTTTTCACTTTGATGTTCCTTCCCCTCTGTGAAGCCTGAAGTCAACTAAAGAGCTAATGTGAACCATCAAAACGCCTGTCATTTGATATAAATATAAATAGTTTTCTTAAAAAATACAGAAAGGCAATTTTAAATTCCAATAGCTAAGAGTCTAAAGTGTTCGACTAAGTTCGTTCGCTTTAGTAAATAACATAACATATGAAGAATTTATCAGCTAAAATTACCCTCAGAATGGAAGTAGCTTAGCAGGTTACCATGTCTACGATGACAGGTGCCAAAGTACAGGATCATAGTTTCGGATATACACATCAAAATGTTGAGCTTGAACTTTTACTAAGGG